AAAAAAAAAGTTCTCCCTTTGTGCAGCTGGGAACGGGGAGTTTACTAAGTATCTTCAGCCCTAAAAAACAACACCTTTGGTTCTGTTAGTAATCAAATCCTTTAAACTTTTATCTAAAACTGTTGAAGCATTGGTATTGCAGTCCAGCTGTGAATTCCAAAGCAAAGCAAGGAAAAGGATGAGATGCAATAGGAAAGAAAAGTAGGACTGAGGGCTGTGCCATGTTACGTTGTGTTCAGTTGAAGAAGGGATGGGGGGAAAAAAAGAAGTTAAATAATGGTTCAGGTCCATTTTAGTGTGTGTTCAGCACTGTCATGGCTTTACCATTTTTGTTATCGGTACTCCCCGTCATAACATCATGAAAAGCACCGGGAGTTAAGGAGTTAATGCCCCATTTCTGTGGACTGCCAATTTTCCAGGTACCCGATTCTCAGAAGAGAAGAACTGCATACCCCAGAGGACTTTGCATTCAGAGGGGGAGATAAAACTCCTTGCAGGTCACGGGACTGGTCTCTTTTTTTGTGCTGCCTGGCGGCGTGTGTGGCTTGCTCCCCAGCCATTTTGCTTTCAATTCAATTTCAATAAAGCCTTTGGTTTTGGACACTCTCTCTGTCTCATTTTATTTGATTTATTAGCCTCGGTTCTAATTATACATTGTATTATATTGTGTTATCTCGCATTCCAATATCAAATGTAGTAAATTAACCTTCCTCCTCAGATCGTTGCCACTGTTCATTTGTAGGCCCGTCTCCCTGCCCTTCCCCCTTTTCCCTTTCATAAGGTGTGGGTCTCTGGGTCCCCTGCCCCATTAGTCACACAATTGGGCTGAAGGCCCAAAACCATTGACACTCCCCTCCTCTTTTCTGGGTCTGTGGGCCTGTCTCCTCCTGTGATGGACACAGATCTAGAGATAACTCCGTGACATTCATCAGATCCCAGCATTGAATGCATGACTTGTGGAGGAGCAAAGAAAGGATTTTTGGTTGCAAAAACTTGAGGTAGTTGCCTCTAGCTGTGCTACGTGTTTCTTGGCCTTGCTAAGATAACTGTATGAGCCATAGGAGTGAAGGATAGTTGAGTATAAAAACATCAACTCTGGGTGTTACAGCTGTTGCTGTTTACTTGCTTGGAGTAGATGATAGCTTCTTACTGACTTCCCATGTTGTGTTTTTTCCCTCCAGGCATTTTACACCAGACCAGTCCCCTTTTGGCTTTTGTGAAGAGACGAAGCTGCACTCTGTTCAGTTCCTCCCTGCTTACCAGAAAGCGTAAGTTCAAAATTCTAAGAAGATTTTCAGCGCATATATAAACTAATGTCTTGTAACGTAACGAACGGAGTGAACTTGAAAGGTTTTTCTAAATGGAGTCCACTGTTGTGATTTAATATACTGTGTATGGTTCTACCCTTTAAAAAAAATAAGCTGAATTTCTAGTAATTAAATGAATCATCATATGATGAAAGATGAGCATTGTAAACTGTACTGGTAACTTAAATCACTGACTCCCAGTGTAACGTTAACATGGATTCAGAGTAAGCACGTTCAACAGCTCACCTGCAGAAGGGAGAATCAGAGCTCCAATACTGGATGCTGCTTGTTAGAGCTCTAGCCAAAGACAATAGCTCTTGAGTCATCTTAAGCTGAACATCAGCATGTAATTGTTGATATTGTTCCTGTCTAGATAATTTGCCTTAATCACTCAAATTACTTAGATTAACTACCAGTTGTTAAATGCTCTTATCAAACGTTCACTTAAACAGAGTGAAAAAAGACTTGCATGGAGCTAGAATTCTCACCCAAGATTCTTTCTGGATCTGAGTTCCCCAATAGTAAAAGGGAACAAAGGCAATATATTATTGTATACTTCCAGCATAAGGAAGAAGCTGACTCTTCCTTAACAGTAGTAAATTAGGCTTGCGAGTAAATACTCTGGTGGTGGCAAGGTCACTCTGCTAAAACAGACAGAAGGAAAGGGGACAGCAGGAAAAGCAAGCTGTAATGTTACACCCAAACCCATATTCATTAAGAGCTGTGAATGCTGGGGGAGGGGGAAGTACCAATTGCATGAAAACAATCTGATCTTTGAATGACATGAAGCTATTAGTGTCTAAAGCAGCAGCTGGCGTAAGCAGGACTGTGCTGGCTCAAGATCAAACTATGTCTTGTGATCAGAACAGCATCTGAAATACTGTCATGCTACAAGTGGAGTACTTATGCAAGCCTGAGAATGACTAAGTAGTTCAATAACATCTGATAAGCTAACATCTATTGTAAAAACGTGTTCTTTTCATGGCTGCTTGCTTCGTAGTCACATAACCTTAAATTTACAAATGATCTTGTCACCAGAATGGACTTATTGAACTGGGTGCTCCTGACAAAGATTCTGTATAACTGATTCAATCTGTTGCCTAGCTGAACTCAGGAGACCTTCAGAAACTATTACGCTGGAAGGACAGCCCTTTTAAGTAGAACATTGTTTTTAGCAGGTGGAACAACTTCTCTTGGTTAGATCAGCAGTTACTCAGTAATCATCAGTTGACATAGACTGAAATCTAAATGTACTGATATCAATAGCAGAGTCCTTTGTAGCATTGTACAGCAAGACTAAATTTCACAGCAGGTATCGGTAATCCCTTCTCCAGTGGAAACTGCCAACTTAGGACAAATGGTGTCTAACTTCAAAACATTGTCTTTTGTGAGAGATGAGGAAAGAAAGATTAGTTGCTCTGACAAGTGTAGACGCAAAGCTTTCTAACAGTTCAGCTTAAATATCGAAGAAAGTACTGCATCTAGAAAGCAGATACTGAGGATATCCTGGAAGTCTGGCATCTGTCATTTGTTGTACGTGTCTTCAGTGGAAGGAATACTAAGAATACACTTCATTTGCAGAAACAGTGTAACACAAAACTTCAAGTAGCCTTGATTTTAAGCAGTGACAAGTTTCTTCAGAGTGACAGCCTAAGATGAAGAAAACTAGCTAGCGGTGTCACAACTAATAACTGAGGTAGCCCTACTAAGCTGAATCTTGACATGTGGGTTTTAAGGTTAGAGCTTGGGAAATGACCTCCTCCAGGCAGGTTGTTTGCTTGCAATTATTGCAATTCTAGGCAGTTTCACACGTGCATGGGTTTTCATTCAGAATCAGCTGTGTTTGAAACATTGGGAATAGTCAAGTATTTCACAGTAGCAATGCATATTGCTTTGCTTTGTATATTTTCAAGTATTTGAGATGTACCTGTGCAGCCTCTATGTAGAAGAACTCAAATATCCAAATCCTAGTCAAGAGGACCAGAATATGCTTAATTAAAAAGTTATTAGACAAAGCTGTTTGGTATTATCCTTCTTAAAGGAAATCCTGACTTGACACAAACAGTTGCTGTTACTAGAGAATTCCCAAAACTGACTCAAGGTAAACTCTATTTCTGGAATTAGATGAGGGTTCCCCTGAAAGTAATGCCTGCAATTGTATTTTGGCCCATGGCACCAGAGGTGGATGTCGGTGGTGCAGCAGTAGAGGCTGAACCAGTGTTCCATTAGGTTTTTGTTGCCATGTGACATATGGTAGCAGAGGAGCAGTCTGACAGAATGGTGTCTGATATGGAAGTGCGGATGAAGCAAAGGTATGGAATTGAATTGCTCCATATGGGGAAATAATGGTACCCTTTGACATCCATTATGCTCACCGAATATTTATGGAAACCAAACAGTGGATATCAGCACATTGAGGCAGTGTGTGGTGCATTTCAGCAGTGGCAACAGATTTGTGAAAGACTAGCTGAGTTCTGGACAGCCATGCAGATTTTTGCAAGCGTGGCATGCAGGCTCTTATTGCTGGTGAAAATGCATAGTGAGTGGTGGTGACAGTGTTGAAAAAGTGTTTTGTAGCTGATAATTCTGTGCAATACTGTTATTGTGTTCTTCATAGCTGATGTAGTTTCCATGGAAATAAATAGGAGGCATTACTTTCAGAGCAACCTATGTAGAATAATGGAATAAATGCTGTATCTTTTAAGTTCTTTACTGCAGGAAATGGATCTCATTAATATTATTATTCAGCCACGCCTGTCTCTTGCCTTCCTTTCCTGACAGCGTAGATCAGCAGCAGTGAGTAGATTCATGCTAGCAGCAGACTGTTGGATCATTTTAATTGTCACTCAAGCAGCCGAGGTAATAATGCAGCAGGGAAAGATCACTACAGTATAACCCACAGATAGCAAGTTATTTTGAGAGTGAAATCTAAGTGACGGATAGCCCCAGATCTCACGTTATCATTGTCCTTTTTTTTGTTTGCAGCGTGAATGCATATCCATCCATGTTGGTCAGGCCGGTGTTCAGCTTGGCAGTGCGTGCTGGCAATTGTATTGTCTTGAACATGGGATCCAGCCTGATGGTCACATGCTCAGTGACAAAACTATTGGAGGCAGAGATGATTCATTTAACACTTTCTTCAATGAGACGGGAGCTGGTAAACATGTTCCCAGAGCAGTGTTTGTGGACCTGGAGCCAACGGTAGTCGGTACGTATGCAAGATGCACATCTTCAATGTAAAACTACTCCTTTCCTTTCTGTTGTATCCTTCACCCGTTCGCTTTTCCTGGGAGACCGCAGCTTGGCCAATTACCGAGGTGACACCGATATGGTGAACAGCAAAATGGCGCTTTTATGGAACAAACACGTGCTTATATATGGAGGGGGAGGTCCTAACGCGTTACAACCCGAAGATGGCGCAAGCGCCTAATACAACATTTCCCCCTCCCCATGCCAAGAGAAGCCTTGCCCCATTACAATACGCAATGTGCTAAACCTAAACAACATACATCTTAGAACTTATCCTGCATTCTACAATATTCCAATTGCGTGTAGATCATTTTCTCAGTCATTCGTTGTATACAACCTCGCAAACATTGAAAGATACATGGCAAACACAACATTAACCCCAAAAATATAAACAGCCCTATTACTAACGCTTTAAGCAACTGCTTAAGCCATGGCCCAATCCCACCAAACAAATTGTCCAACCAATTTCCGAAGGGATCTTCCTGTATTCCAATCTTTTTTGTATGTTCCTTTAACAGTTGTAACTTCTTATGTAGTGATTCACTGTGATCGCTTAAATTGAAACAACACATCCCTTCAAAGTCGTTGCATCCATGACCCTGTGCCAGGAGTAGGAAGTCGATCGCCGCCCTATTCTGGAGCACAGCATGCCTAAGGCTATCAATGTCCATGAGTAGTTCGCTTAGGAGCGCGGAAGTCACGTTGGCCTGTTTCACGGACCAACAAGCTAGTCTTTCTATGTCCTTAAGCACTTGAGCTGCGGCTACTCCCGGAGCCAGGATGGATGCAAATATTCGTGCCGTTGGTCCCCAAAGGTGTACCTCGTCACCGCAGTCTGATCCTAGGGTGTGAATACTTCGCCTTTTCCGAGTCCCTCTACTCATGTCCCTGACCAATTGTACCCACTCAGAGATGCTTGGTGATAGAATGGTTAATTTCCCCAGGTAACATGGTCCCCCCACCGGTATCCTCGGGATACCCTGCCAAGCCCTGTCACCACATACCAGGAACACCCCTGGTGGTAACATCTTTGAACCTCCGACAACACTAACTCTCTCATTACTCCTATCCAGACCATTATCATCAAATTTACCTTTCCATAGTTTTCCGGTGGTGACATTATATTGTGGCCTCCTGCGGGGGTATCCGTACCCTCCCTGCGGCCAAGATTGTGTGATGTTGCAGCAACAGTCACTTGTGGTGATATTGCACCACTGCTCTGGCAATGTACAATTGTTACACAGGGAACCTTTCCACCCATTCGCGGTTTTGAAATTATACCACTGCCGAGTACGATTTACCACGTACCCACAGTACGGGCCAGACCACCTGAACACCTCACTGTTCAGCGGGTTAACAAGCGTGTGTGGGATGGTTCTATTACGGCTGGAGTCCCACAACAAAGGCCTACCCCTCTTAAGGAGATCCTGCGCAATCCCACGTTGGGAAAGCGATCCTTGTAAGGCAAATTGTTCAAAACATATGCATCCCTCTGAACCTCTGAACCTACGCTCTGAGAACCCATAAGCAGCAATTCAGGGGGTCCCACGAAAGTGATGTATTGAGCATGCGGATCAGGCAAGCTGAAATATTAGCACCTGAAGTAAAGTACTTTTCGCAAGCAGTTATGTTATCTACATATCCCAAAAACAGCAACCTATCAGTAGAAAAATTCAAAGGTACCCCTATAAGGCACGTGTGGAATGGTGAAGTGGCCGATTGCACTCATCATATCACAGGGTATATTGTACAGGTTCAAGGATGACACACATAAGGTTGATCACATCATACGGCAGGAGGCTAGAAGCCATAAGAGCTTCTACTGCCGACATGGTCACAGGAGAGCGCAGACCTTTACTTTTAACCAAATCCGCAAGGCGAGTAATTGCCTTGGAGTCCAGAGGGGTCCAAGCTGGACCCTCTGTTTTTACTACTACAGGGAGGGCGAATGTCGTAGTTGTCGGACCGTAAGCGGTTCGTAAATCCTCCCTCGCCCTAGCGCAGTCAGTGAGTGTAGGTGCGGCCCATGAGGCAGTCACTGCAGGATCCCGCCCTCCCTGGGTGAATCCCGAGGCTGCTCGCACCGGGACGCCACACCCACATCCTTCACAAGACGGAGTGAACATTCCAGCCCCTTATGGGAGCGGCCGCGGCAACAGAGTCAGGCAGCAAGGAAGCACCGCCCCCGCTCTCACATTTCACCAGCCGCGCCGTACCCTCTCCGGCCAGCTCGCCCTCCCCCACTGCCCTCTTAACAGGTGTTGAGCAGGCTATGCTACACTCCTCCGCACTTCCCCCTCCCCCCTCATCCCTGAAGGGTTTCAACGAAGGATATAAACCCTGAGCTGGATAAGGAGGCGGGGATGGAGCCTCTCCGTCCCTGCGGTCCGACGATCCCTGCCGAACTTCCTCCCTTCTTGGTGTCGAAGCCGCCGCCTCGGGCGGGGCTGCGGGGACCGGCCCCGACTTGCCCTCCAGCAAACCTGCAGCAGAGACAAGATCTCCCCCCGTCCCCAGCCGTAACAGCTCCCTAGCTCGATCACTCGCCATTTTCTCCTCCCTCGCCATCTTAAACGCCCCCCAAATCAATCCCCACACCTTGAACTCTGCCGCCTTTTGGGTAGTCATTGCCCTCTTAGAGAGCGCGTCAGTGAACCCATCCCAATTAGCGGGATCGTATAAGTCAGAGGGAGATGCCAATAAGCCCTCCCCCTCCAGCAGCGAAAGTACCGCCGCAACCTCCTTCTTAGAAGGAACACTTCTCCGGCAATAGGTTTTACATGCGCGAAGAATCCCCTTGATAACGGCTTCCATCGCCCCAGGCTAAGCGCGCGTCTAGCCTTCACCGGGCGCTTCCCCGAGCTTCTTGGGGGATCCTGGCCCTTTTTCCCGAGCCTCCCGCCTGACAAGGACTAATGCGCACTCGTCCCCGGGCTTCCACTACTCCGCGGGTTTTATCATGTACCCGGTCCGCAATGGGATCCTGCGCCGCTGGCAGAACAGCTGACTCACCCCCAGAAATCACGTCGGGGTCACCATCTGTTGTATC